ATTCAATTCCACCTCCAATAACCTAAGTGCCCTCCGGTGCCTTCCTTGCTTCCCCGGTAATTTCACCCGTTATGCTTGTCATTATCCCGTCTTTTAAGAACGGACAAAGAACTTGCGCTAACGCATTGGGGACGTGAACAATAATGTTATCTGTAGGCTTTTTTAATTCGTTTCTCAGATAGGTTTTATCCCGTTGTCTTTCCGAAACATTTTTTTTTACTCCGATTGCAAGTCCCTCTGGATATAAGCCCCTCCCGTTTATGACCCCACCCAAAACCCGTTATGAAGTTACATAAGCGCAGGGCTTTAAAGTGGGATTTTACGATAATAATTAAAATTGTGCTTTTAATTTTGTTTTCGAAAACGTATTCGTGTGAGAGTGTGATGTTAGCAGATCTTACCGTTATTCTCCTTATGAATGACATGGAACCTGAGTTTGGATAAAGAACAACTTTAGGGGCATAAAAACGCTCTCTTATGCGAAATGGTGTCCTGTCTTCAAACTGAGAAAGTGATTCTATCTGTTGAGAGGAAAGTCAGTTGCGAAATTCGTTATTACACAGCTGAGCGATCAAGAACTAAAATCAACCAATCATGTGGATTGCCTTTTCGCCGGTCCAAATTTTCTAAGCATTGGACCGAGTACTGTATTAGGCTTTCCTGTAGTTTCTTTGGCTTAATGTTCTATAAAATTAAACTTATGCGTATGCCTCAATATTTCTTCCAACTATTTTTCCTTCACGACAGACTTGAGCACACAATCAGAATTGCGCTGTTGGAGTTTACGGTATCTTCCTAGTCATGTTCGTGGAATTTTTCCTGAACTTAATCAGTCTTATGATGTTAAATTATTGCTAATTAACCAAGCTTGCTCCGGGCTGTTTACAGGGAAAATATCTAGTTCTCACCGAACTCAGGTATCGGTCGATATCCTCCCAGGATACACCCGCGCCTGTTACATGTATGTTATGGAACTAGCTTGTTCGGCCCATATATGGTAATTTGTCGTGGTAGCTGAATTATCGTACCTCGATTGAGGGCTAATTTAATCACAGAACTGCAAACTAAGCAGGACTGCTGCTGTTTTTTTTTTTACCTGTGTTTTAAGGCGTTTTAACTCAGCGTTCTTTTTCACTGCCTCAATGTCTCCAACAGCCAAGCCAATCTATAAAGGCAAAAAGGAATGAAAAGAATACGAGAAATACGTATGCAAGCGCTCTGTTAAGAATTGGTTTGTAAAGAACTCGCTAAAACATTGGTAAGTGTGAGCCCGAGTCAAAGTCAAGCCGTATTGGAGAACTGACCAACTGTTCTTACACAATAAATCCAGGGCCGGGTTGTTTTCAAAGCCCAGCACGCGATTAAGCTAACTCAGGATTAGCGAGCCAGAATTTTGATGTGAGTTTTGTAACTTTGCGGTGAGGTTTTTTGGTCTTCTGTTTTGAGTTTGAATAATCACAAAGTACTCAAAACATGAGCAATGAAAAAAGAAAGAGAAAAATTCTCTGAATAGTTCGGTTAACTTTTAATCCTGGGTTAGCGTTAACCGGCTTTTGAACAACCCGCCCCAGATGTTTTGTGAATTAAATCGTCCTCATTTAAATTAAAATGAACGAACATGAAAAAGGAAACAATTCATAATAATCAAAAGAAAAGAACAAACAGGCAGACGAGCAGACAGAAGGAAAACAAACCAAGAAAAAAACAAAGAAAGAAAGAAATGAAATACAACAATAACAGTAACAAAATTGCGTATTTAAAAAGTGAACAGTCTGTCACTGTCCATAAGCCCTCCCCACTTATAAGCCCCTCCGGTTACAGTCCCCTACTGGTTTAAAATGAAACGAATTCGATTTATTACGATATTCTAAAGATTAATTAATAATCAATGAAAGAAAAACGAATTTCGATCAACAGTGCTGTAGAAACAGCACTTTACGGGATATTTACTCACCAGCAGATTCATAAGGGAGATGGACATTATAAGAATGAATGTGAAACAGATGAAACGAGCAAGCTCCGGCATTGCGAGCTTTTTCTCGACAAAGNAAACGAGCAGACAGAAGGAAAACAAACCAAGAAAAAAACGCAAAGAAAGAAAGAAATGAAATACCACAATAACAGTAACAAAATTGCGTGAAAAGTGGACAGTCTGTCACTGTCCATTAAGCCCTCCCCACTTACAAGCCCCTCCGGTTACAGTCCCCTACTGGTTTAAAATGAAATGAATTCGATTTATTATGATGTTCCAAAGCTTAATTAATAATCAATGAAAGAAAAACGAATTTCGATCAACAGTGCTATAGAAGCAGCACTTTACGGGATATTTACTCACCAGCAGATTCATAAGGGAGATCGACATTATAAGAATGAATGTGAAACAGATGAAACGAGCAAGCTCCGGCATTGCGAGCTTTTTCTCGACAAAGTAATGATTGAATTCCACTCCCCCAGCCATCATGTCGAATACCTTGAGTATAGACATGTATGGAGACGTGTACGACAGCTGAAAATCAAAAAAGATAATTAAAAATTCTTCTCTGATGGCAGTTAGCGTTACTGTTGCAATTTATTTGCAGGTGTGCTCATCGACTTTGCCTATATGGCATGGACGGGGTGTAACATGTCTGATAAAATGCCCAGATGGAGAGGAAATTGGGCTAGACGTACAGNGGGGGGGGAATGTGAATCACTCTCCCAAAAAAAATTTCCCGAGTTGACCAAATTTTTACAAGACAATCGAACACAAACAATTTTTAAAAGATCATTGTATGTTGTCTTTTAGAAACTTTTACTTTTCAACTCGCTGACTCTATCTCTGAAAATATTAAGCAATAGTTTCTCACCTCATCTCCCAAGAGCAGAAAGAAGATTAACCCGTAAGCAACGACAAGCATGGAAAACACGACAATAACCTGAAGAAAAAACAAATAACAGCTGCAGTATATTTAACAATTATTCCACGAGAGCGTGTTGGATATGAGATGATAGAGAGCCAACGAGGCGTGTAGCGCCGAGTTGGTTCTAATCACATAATCTCATAACCTGAACAAGCGTGAGTGGAGTAATTGTTTAATTTGTAGAAGACGCCCCCAAAATATAGAAAACTAAAATAAAATAAAAATAAAAACGCCCTCAAAAATTACGTTTACCGTTTCGATATTTGTAGAGAGCATGGTATAACCCTTCAAATGCCATGATGACTAAGCCAATGAAAACTCTTGCATTGCATTATCTAATGATCCAATTTTTAATAATACTATATAGCTTTACTAGTCTCTATGCGTCCTCATCCTCTTGTGACCCGCCGAAAAATACACCTAAGGGCCTGGAAAATTGTTCATATGCCATTCGGTCCGGTCACTCTATGGGAACAAGTGGATACTGTTCTGGTTCTATGGCTGAAACTCTGAACTATCAAATAGATGAAAAGGTAGAAAAGGTATTCATCCCTTATGTTGTAACTCAGCTGAAACATTTTCTCCATGTTAATGAAGAGCAACAACGACAAAAACTAGGCTTAATACGAATCAGACGCTATTTGCTTGTATCTATGGAGATTCTCGACACTTTACGATTGAAAAATGTGTCTTAAGTTCAAATATGATCACCTTGAAAACGGATTTTACGACTTCAAACAGCATCGTCACATAGATCCCTGAACAGAAGAGCCTGAAAGATAGAAACCAAGTACAGTGAAGATTTTTTAAAATGAATGCGTGGAAATGCAATTCTTCGCTCTCTATTGAGGAAATCTGGCAACTGCGAAAGACAGCGGGTCCGCAAATTCGCTTCACTGTTAAGTATGAACGCGCTTTTGTTGTACAGATTACGCAGCACAAATGTTTAGTTGTATGAAAAGTTCGTCATTTTTGAATGCTTTGTCTATAGCTCCCGATCTTCTCTCTCCAGTTTTGGTATGATAAGCGAAAAACATTCTCTTTCTAGGTATGCTACCTTCTCACTTAAGAGCTCTATTTCCTTACAACACTAGCATCAACAAGGGCCGTCCTCGATCTGAGACGATTTATTTGCTTGCCAATTATCAACCTAACTGCAGAGATATGGGTTATTGACCAAGTGTGAAGTCCAGATGGCTGGATATAGGCCAAGCTCTTTTTTTTGCGTCCGTTTATGGACCGATAGGAAGTCGAGATCCATAAACACGCAAAAAAAGAAAGAGGCCAATATCCAGCCATCTTGACCGAACAAGCTTAGTCAATAAAGGATTTATTGTATGGCTTTTGGGGAATTTTTTTTCTTGCGGGACACAGCGGGTAGTCCCGAGCGGGCAAGATAGCTCCATCTTGCCCGCTAGGGTAGCCAATCACAGTGCAGGATTTGATTCATCTTGCCCGCTCACGGAACTAGCCATATAATAATATCACTTAGAAAACAGTCCTAAGAAAATACACGCGCTGATTGCTTAAAAATCGTGTTTCTATTTAACAATTAGATTATGAGCTCGAGATTTCTATGAGGTGATAGTTGATGAGGCCGAAGGCTGAATCANAAACTGTTCAAGTTTAACACTCTCTAATTTGAGATTAATTACATTTTCATTAAATGAATTGAATAGTTCATGAGTGCATAGTTATAATAGTGGGAAATGGCTAGGAAGGCCGGTAAACATCAAAGAAGCAAACAAACAGGCTAAGATTTATGTTGGAAGGTCCTTGACCCTACACATCTTTTGTTCTTTTGTGCTATGCTCATTGAAAACGGTTGAATTACATAATCGCAATGCTTGACTGATCACACGTAAACACCTTTTGTATTTTGCCAGGTTTTGTGCAGGGTCAACCCCCAAAATAAGAAACAAAAAACACACAAACAAACAAACAAACAAACAAAAACACACAACAAAGACCTTTGCCAAGTTTCCTAACCATTCCCTGAATTAACTATCATGAGCGGAAATCAGTGAAACTAAAAACAGCTGAAAGCCATATTAATAGAAAAAGTTTCCTCCGTGAATTTCTCCTCCCTCCCCGCATTGCGATATTTTCCATTTCAACTGTGAAGATAAATATACTCAATATCAGCATCTTACTTCAAGCTCAATTCTGTTTACCTCCAAGATCAAGTCTACAGTCTGGATGTCAGCGCACGCGACGGCTACATGAAGTACTGTTCTCCAGTTCATATCCTTGAACTTTAATGGAAAACCGCGTGCAAGGTAATATTTGACAGCGTAGTGCTGGCTCCTCTTGACAGCGCACATGAGTGGGCAGGGGGTGCAAGTGTCTGTAGTTGGATGGAGCATCGCTCCCTGGCAACAGTGACGATGTAAAGGTAAAAATGTAAATCTTATTTATAGTGTTCATGCACTTAGCTATACAAGCACTAAGCTTAGCTAGTTTACAGGCATGCCACTGAAACAAAGGAAACAAATATTTCAAATAAACGTAACATAGTTAAAAATCCCACCTGGCAGGAGGCAGACCAGTTGGCTATTTACAAAGAGTTACCGAGGATTTCAACTCGGGACTACCGAGAAACAAATCCTGTTATTGGCAGGGTGAAGGCCTTGAACCCGGGAGCCCCGGATTACAACACCAGCCCCCTAAACCACTCTGTCACGCTGCCTCCACGTGACAACAAAATAATATATTTGTAGATCGGATGTAAAATAACTAAATGATTATTATATTTATAATTTATATTTAATAATTACCTGCTCCAGGAGATAGTCAATGATAGGCACATGTCCTTCAAGTGAGGCTCTGTAGAAGAAGGTTTAGGCATTTTAATAAACCCGGATATGTAAACAGAAGGACCAGGAACGAAACAAAAATACTGTTGAATCACATTAGTCAAGAACTACCAGACTCGTGTAATAAGAAAAATTGAAAACAAAAAAACTAGCTGATTGTAGAATATGGGACACGAAACATGTCTTATAAATTAAAAAATGTCGTAATGTTCTTAAAATTACGATTTGCTTTCTGCTGTCTCTACCTTTTGGTTTAATTATAGTATCCTTTTAAAACTATATAACACAAACCCATTTTAATTCTGAACCTCATGTTTTGTATGCTAGTCAACACACGTTTTCAAAAGTGACCATTACAAATTTTTGAAAACTATTCATATCGTAATTATTAGAGGTCTGGAACCTAGACTGAGAAATATTATCTGCAGCAGTAATTTAACCCGACTACTGGTCATGAGAAGTAACAGCTAGTACAGCCTTTACTGAAGTTGACATTTGGCCTTTTAGTGTATCTACAGACCGGGCGGCCATGATGTGAATGCTAGTCACTACATGATCTCTTCGCCCATACCCAAACTTACTAGCTTTTGGCTGGAGAGAGACACTGTGAGAAAATGGCAAATTGTCCAAGAATACAACACGATTTAAACATCGATCAACTAGTGAATAAACGGCAGTTACCTTAATAACGGCGTCATTCCGTTACCATCTTCACTCTCGATCTTCGCACCGTGTTGCACCAACAGCTTTGCTATTTGCAAGTTGCCTTGACTACAAGCTAGGTGAATTGGCGTGGAAAAGTCCTCCTAAGACAGGCAGAATTGAATTTAATTCATACAAGTTCACCCTCACGTTCTTATAAGGCCCATTAAGTAGCACATAAGGCTTAACAGGGCATATAACTGAGGTAGCAATGTTAAAAAAAAAAGCGCGTATTTCTTTTGGACAGAACAGTGAATATCTATTTACTGCTGACTTACGAAAAAACGTAAATGAAAGCAAACAAGCAAAAACAGAGGACAATAATAGCTATAAAAATAAATTCACCCAAAAGCATATTGTTTTTTTAATTCTAATTAGACTACGAAATATCTTTCCAGGCTGGCCAAAGAAAGTTAGTTGTGTTTCTCGAGGAGTAAAGCGTAACGAAAATAAAACCATTTCAAACAAACATGTTATTTCAGATTCCTTGAAAAACACCCGCCCTAAACCTAATAGATATCTGTTTATAACGCGGGGTGATCTTACAGTGCTTAGTGCTTGCCCACTGTCTTGACAGTTGCAGTCCTAATAATCATTGATTACCTGTACAGTGCCTATGTCAGCTCCAGACTCCAGGCACAGCTCAACAATCTAAAAGCAGATGAATTTCACACCAATAATAATAAAAATAAGGAAATATTCTCAAAGAAGAATCAATTTCCGTTTCTTTGTCCAGCTTGGTATAACAAACGTGGTGTCACAAAAAGGATTTGGAGCGGGCTTGAAATTTTGAGTAAGATATCGTAAAGCGATTCCTCCCTCCCGCCAATTCGTTAACGGCGCATCGATCTATCTCGAGTTGATTCAATAGAAGTGAATTGTTTTGCAGTCTAATGAAATAACCCCTCGTGTTAATGGCTTCTGTTTCAGTATCATACACGGTAGTCGCTATCACAGCCATTTTTTTTACAGATGGAGAAAAAATAGTCCACGCGAGATTAAAGTAGATCATGATAAATGGGTTATCTCATAATAATGCATTCTAACCTCTTTGTGTCCATGTTTAATGGCCAGATGTAAGCAAACATTTCCATAATTATCAGGACTATTTAACAACGTGCGCGTTGATAAGCCTTCACTTTTGGCTGTGAAGAAAATGAAACAAACAATGACAAACGTTGAATACCCTGGAAATACTTCAAGATATAACTCCACATGTAAATTTTCTTCATCACTTCGTTATTTGGATTCATGTACTGTTGTGCGTNTGAAACAAACAATGACAAACGTTGAATACCCTGGAAATACTTCAAGATATAACTCCACATGTAAATTTTCTTCATCACTTCGTTATTTGGATTCATGTACTGTTGTGCGTATTTAAATCTTTTCATCCTCAAGCTTGTTCACTCAACCAAAATGGAGCGTCATTTGAAGCCAAATATTTACAGTTCTCGGTACCTCTGCGCAGCATTTCTTTGAACGCGTCCACGTGACCTTCTCTTGCTGCCAAGTGCAGTGGCGTGTAACCGTCGTTATCTCGGAGAGCCATGTCTGCTCCATACAACACCTGAGAAGATAAAGACAATACGGTCGTTAATTTCATAATTACTTTTCTCCATCACTTTATCGACTTCGTGCGTAATCGCTGGGCTAAGGGTTGTGCTGCTTTTCTGTACACTCCGGTCGTTATCTTTTTCATGTAGTAATAAAGCGCATTTTAACTTTAGCTCTTTTGTCAAGCTACCATACCCGAAACAACGTACAAGTCAGTTACAAAACTGTCCTTCAACTAATTAAACTATTATAAAATTGTTCTTTTCTTGTTGTTATAATGTGAGAGTATATTGTATCAGCTCTTTCTCTGTATTTGTTATATTTCCAGCTAAAACAACATAAATTTACTTCACTTAGGTAGCGCAAAAGTGTTCTCCTCATTTAAATACTTGTCAAGTAGAAAATCAATTTGAATTGCTGAAAAGACGTTGAAGAAGAAACGTGACGGACAGTTTCTTGAAGCACGATCTGTTGTCGGCATGAAACATAATATAACATACTTAATTTCTTCAGAGTTATGGCTGGTTTGCAGTGTTACGCCATCAAAAATAAAATTCGTAACCATTCAGTAAATGAAGTCAAGAAGCTGGGATATGAAATATATAAACAACCTGGCCAAGATTTAGGTCTGTGCCGTTTTTCACTCGCGCGTTATTCGGTGAGGTGTTTCGCTCAAATTTATAAAGCTTTGTATGGAGTCGCCATGTTTGTGACCCTCGCAGGGACAGTAACATGGCGTCTGTAAAGTAACAGAAACGTTTGACATTGAGTTTTGCTAGTATTATTCTTGAGCTCCGACACATTGAAATTAATACTTCCTCTAGAGCAAGAACTGTTCAAAAACTTGAGCAATAACTCATCTTTTGACCTTACTCGAGAGGCTTATCGGGCCGCCATTTTAATGTCACAAAACGCATAAACTTGGAAATTCAGACGTGCACTATTACATAATGAGGAAATCCTGTCGGGCTTAAACGTTACAAAACATCAAGTTATTAGAGGGTCTTACATCTGATGCAACTAAAACTTCAGCAGGATTGGTAATTTCTTATTTTGGAAAATGATGACGTCACATCAAAACCGGCTTTTTTCTTACGTTGTCTTTTCTTATTCTTTTCTACTTGTTTATCCTGTTGCTAAGAGAATGCGTTATGTTACCTAGCAACGCCCGACTGCTGGGGACTGGATTAGGACTGGACGGAGTATATACGACTTCAGTAAAAAGCTTTCTTACCAACTTCCTAATAGCTTCTGTCTGTCCCGCCAGAGCTGCAGCGTGTAATGAAGTGGCTTTGTCGTTGTCTTCAAGGTTTATGGGAATTCCTCCTTCTTTTAGCAGAAGCTGGATAATTCAAATTAAAGTTGGCTTGAATGCATCTGGTCTGCATATATTAGAGGTGTTACTTGTTTATTGCGGCACTATGTGTTGGGCTGCCAGTTTATTTTATTACAGTTATTGAATATGTTTTCAACTTGGTGATCATCCTCGGAGACCCAGGGACAGTTAATTGGGGATAGTTAATAAATCCGGCAAAAACTGAAACACCAAAAGTTGACAAGTACATAAAGATTAGGGTTAAGGCTTCGGGTTAAGGTTTCGTCTTAACGCTTGATTTCGGCCGGTCTCTCGAGTCCAACTCTACTTGCGCGGGCTCCCTTCCTGAACAGCGGCTGGTAATCGTACCTATTCTGTTTTAAGTGGTATCTTTTAGGGGTCAAATAAAGCTTGAGCCATGCTCAGATATATTGGTCTCCATCAGGGATTTAATTCAAATTTTTCGGCAAGTATCCCCAATCTTTTCATATGGGGGTCCCCCCCGACTTTTTTGTTATGACCTCATGTCATTTTCGATTTCAGGATTCAATAGCCCTTTAACGCGAAAATTACCTCATATCTTATCGTGTAAACCCTACCTCCAAGACCTTTGTATGTCCTTTACGTGCTGCATAATGCAGCGGTGATTGACCATTGCAGGATTTCTTGGTAATGTGAGCGCCATTTTGAATGAGCAGCCGGCACGCATCGAGCGAACCAAACTTACTGGCGCATATCAACGGTGTCATATAGGCACAGCCAGCGTTCAAAGCAGCAGGAAAATTGATATCTGTGTGAAATAATCAACAGACTCATCTCAGACATCTGCGTGGCGATCAGATGGTAACTGGTTGGAAAGGAGACAATTCCTTTTGCTGCTGGTAAAGTATTTTGAACTAACGCTATGCCGGGTTTAACGACCAAGTTGAACACCAACCAGAAATTTCAATTAGAAATGCATAACGCGACCTTAGTTTTTAAAATTTTAAGGTGGCTCTGAACCCTATGTACTTATCATACAGTTTTTTGAACTTTTCCAAAAGTTGCGTCTTATCATGGTTATTAAAATTTGATAAAGTAAAAAAATTTCACCGTGCCCTTTTTGAATTATAAGTCTCTAAAGTTGTATTTAAGGGTGTTTATAGCAGGTCATACTATTGCCATGGTAACCTATGGTGTCACGAAAATGAAGAAGAAAGAAGACGAATAATTTTAGCATCAAGTGATAAAGAGTGGTAATAATGACCTAGTAAAATCTAACTGCTGGAAACTGCTTTGAGCCACCTTAATGAAAACTGTTTCAGTTTTGTTTTACAAAAAAAATGCAGGATAAGTGCAGTTCTACATTCTGTTACGGCCAATACTATTCACCGTAACATCGTTCATTTCCTCTTTTTACTTCCTAATTTAAGATTATTTGTTGGGGGTCTTATTAAACAACATATAAGGTAAAGTCTGCATACGAGCCAAGTGGCCTATCAGGCCGGCGTGTCTGTAGCATGAAACGACTCTAGTCCATCGCAGGGTTACCCCCAGAATTAAATTTGCCGGTACCCATTTATACTCTACAGTGGAGAGAAGCACTGTGAAAGTAAAGTGTCTTGCCCAAGAACACAACACAATGTCCCCCGCTAGGGCTCGAACCCGGACTGCCCGATCCGAAGTAGAGCTCTGTAACCATGACGCCAACGCGCCTTCACAAAAAACATATAATAGTGGACTAAATAAAAAATGTAAAGCAATCGATTGCATTCTACAACTCCTTACCGGCCCCAGCGTTAAGCAGCAGTTGAATGATTTGTACATGGTTTCCTCTCGCCGCATGGTGAAGTGGGGTAAGTCCATCTCCGTCGTATGCGTTACATTCTGAAGCGCTTACTCGAATCAACCGCTCTGCAACACATGGCAAGCCATCGCGACATGCCTAGAAAGTAAGCAGTAAAACTGATTTGTTCACGGTTCACTGAAGAAAAGATAATGTGGGACGTTTACACAACCTAATCTGTTTTGGGGTTTGTCGCAATTATATAGCTATAGAGGAGTGAAATTTGAGGCTAAAAACCCTTGCTAAGGCTACTTCCTTCCTTCGAGGGCACAAAAAAATCGTTTTTTCTTTTATTTGACAAAATTTAAGTCAGTAATTTTATCTTAGGTTTACAAAAAAAAATGTTAAAAATCTCAAAAAGCGGCCGAGTTATTTAGAAGAAACGTACTTTCAAAGAAAGTTAATAAACCATGAAGGTGTCGTAGTCGCTTAAATGGACGAAAACGCCAAGGGAATTTTCGCGGCAAACCAGTCATCTTGGAGCTCTTATTTCATGTTATTTGGTATGGTTTATCTCGCATTTGTTCTTTTGCCTTTGGCTACTTTGTCCGTTTTAGTGTCTTTTTCTTCAATGTGACAGAGCGATAGAAAACATGTTGCAATGCGATGCTTTTCTCGGGAAATCCTGATTCATTGTCACTGAAGGCTAGGAGGTCCTGTTGTTCCATTGATTTGCGTTTTCATAAGGCGAGATATTCTCCTGGCGTGGCGCAATTTGATTTTGGGAGAAATGCATCCACTTTGAGCAGGAGCCATAATCGGGGACGGAGACCGTAAGCGCGCGCCATTTCTAGTATTAGGGTTGTCCCCATG